CCATAAAGTAAATGTAAGAAAAAGACACTTGGGCCTGGCCCTGTTACCAGGTGCAGACGAAAGCTGCCTCAACCATTGTGGTGAGAATTAGAGACTTAATTGCTCTGGCCAATAGACCTGGAAAAATTCTACAGGGAACAGCCTTTGAAGTGATTAACTGCATTAGCAGGCACCTCTCCCAACAACTTGTCCTCTTTGCTTGAAGCTGAGGGAGCCTCCTTGTGGAGTACTGTGAAGCCATTACCATGGCAACTCTACTGTGCTGTACAGTAGATGCCATTTTAAGGCACAACGGGCTGTATCTTAACAGAACCTGAATCCAAAGTGCACACTATCACTGTCAAAAATAGTATGATTTGACACTAGAGATAATCCATTCCTGTTCATTTCAGCGGCCCAGGCATTCCAGAGTTATGGTGGAACAGAGACACACACCAAAGGGTGTTAGGGATGTCATACACACACACAGAGAGAGAGAGAATTGTTATCAACATAAGGAATGTTGTTGTGAAAATTGTGATTATTACCTTTCAGAATGGATGCACCCAGACTGTTAAATTGAAATGGGAATTTTTGTACGTAAGAAAATAAAATAAAAACTGACTTTAAAAAAAATAAAAATAAAACCCACTTTCCAATCAGCCTCCCTGTCGCCTTTTCCAGCGTCTTTTATCTCCCAGCTTTTTACTGAACCAGATGGATTTTTTCCCCTTCCAACCCCACCATCCCCAACTTGCCATGAGGAGGGACGCCAAGGCCGGCCTAAGCAAAGAGACGGTTGAAGCCATAGTAGGGCGTTACCTTTTGGGGAAGAAGGGCCTGGATGGAAGGAGGCTTCTGCCCGGAGAGAACCGGGAAAGGAACGAGGGCTGCCCCTCAGCTCATCCTCCCCGTTAAGAAAAGGCCCGGCCTCTTTGACCTCCTCCTGGGAAGAGGCGCTTCCTTTCTGCCCCTCGGGGGAACCAGGTGGAGCCTCAAGCCCTGGACGAGCCCCTCCGCCGCCCCACAGCTAGGCCGGGGTTGCTGTTGCTGTTCCTCGCCTCGTCTGCCGCCGCCGCCTCGGCGGCCTACCCCTCCCAGGCGCCTCTCATCGATGCCCCAGCGGCCCCCGGAGCCTTCCATTTGGAGCCCCTTCAAGTTGCGGCCCTCCGAGAGAGGAAACTTGCCCCAAATCCCTGCTGGCTCCCCGGTCATCCCCTCCGGACAGCCTCGGTTGCCTCTCCCCCCAACTCTCCCAACCACGCTCCGATCCACAGTAGGCCTCTGTCAGGGGTCCTTCCTTCTTCAGAAAGGCCCCCGCGCTTCCCGTAGAGGGAGTCATTCCGAACGAACGCCTGCACGAAATTCATACTCTTATTTACCGCTGCGTGCCTAGGATTTCCGCCCGCTATTTTCACACACACAAATTAGAGATTTGGGGAAAATGCGGAAGTCTCCAACCGCCCGATCTCATAAATTATTGTTTCAGGCAATATCATAGACAGCTTCGGGGATAAGGGAGGGAAATAGCGCAGGCGCATCACAGAACGCGTTCTCCAAAGTTGAGACGCTTCGAAGAGTTCCACTGGTTAGTTGTATCTGCGCATGTTCCTAGCAATGCGCAGTTCCCAGCCATTATGAGCGTTAAGCGAGGGGAGCAAGCTTTTCTGTTCAGTTTTCCATCCATAATTCTGCGATTTTACATGTCACGTGTTGGAAATAATATTCTCCAGTGAGAATTAAGTCATTTTATCTGCTTTCCTGTACAGCCATGCATAAGAAGTAATAGTAACAGAAACTTTGCAATTATCTATATTTCAGGAAATGTCTTGTATCTGGCATATATTAGGAAGATATATGGTCAATATATCTATATTGGCCAATAGATCTTTGGAATAGGATCGTAGGTATGTCTCGGGGGAAGGGTTTGTAACTTCCAACTGGTTGCTATGCGGCCAAGTTGAGGACAACCTATAATATACCTGGCAAACAATCATAAGGTCTGCTTAATTGGTTTGTGACTCTCCGAAACTCCTTGCCAAGTTCTGCAGATATCGGCCAGGCAGCTCTCCAAGCCAGATAAGGTCTGTGACCAGAAATCCTCCCTTGAAAGACTTCGATGGATATGAATGAGCAGAATTTGCAGTAAATTAATAAAAGGAATTTTTTGTCGGGAGATTGCGTCATGCTCCTGGGAAGCCTGGGTCAGAACATATTGTAACTTCAATAGGTTGCTACATGAGGCCAACCTATAATATCCCTGACAAACAATCACAAGATCTGCTTCTTTGGTGATGGCAGAATGTATGTGTTAGGAATATAATTCTAACGGTTGGGTTGGCAATATATAAATCATGTAACAATGTTGTACCTGTTTCTTTAAATCATGCTGCAAATGTGATTGGGTGTTTTCCTCAATCGGCCATAAGAGGGAGCCAGAACGACTGTTAGCTCTCTCTGTTCTTTAGATACTGGGCTGATCTGAGTGCCGTGAGCTATTGTAAGTTTTGCAACTGTTAGCAAACCTTGATTGCTGGACTGATTATATGATACT